CGGCCCCCTCTCTCCCATCCCCAGACCCTGCCACGGAGCCCCGATGAGGGCGAGCACCACTTCTAATTGCAGCCTCGCTCCCAAAGCCACGTTCGGTTATCACAGAGGGTGCAGATCTCACAGCTCAGCCTCCTCGGTCCCAGGCCCTCGGGGCCAGCTCAGGAACGGAGGGAGTTAATTACATTTTTCCCATCCCCTTCTTTTAAAGTCAGGGAGCGCCCGGCAGGTCCCAGGGGAGGGGGCGGTGAGCAGAGGATGCGAAAGGGGGGCTGGTGCTGGGCTCCCGGGGCCCCCACCCCCCAAAACCCTACAAGCCTCTCCCCAGCGGCGGAAGGGGGGTGGTGAAGCCGGGCCCCTTATTGATTTAGTCTGGTGGAGGCTGGGACTGATTTAGAGCAGAGGGAGAGGAAGGGGCTGGGGGCGGGTGGGGCCACGGCGGGTTGAGGGGGAGAGGAAGGGATGGCTGTCACTCAGCCTGATGGACAGCCCAAAGATTTGCCTTCAGATAAAACCTTACAGATGTGGAGGTCGGTATTGATTTTGAGTTAGTAACGGTAACGTACCAAGAAGTAATACATTAGTGAAAGCAAGGTCACAGGAAAAAAGTCAAACCCACCGGGGGAGAGGTCTTAGCATTCTTGAGGGAGGTGGATTACCGCATCAGACCAGGACTTCCTCAAGTTCAAAAGTTTGCAGGCCCCAGACCTCAGCTGGGCCCCTAACTGTGAGCAAACTTCCTGCTTCCGCAGGCAAAGAGGGACTCCCGGGGGTCCGCAGGCCAGCCAGAGGCTGGCGAGGGCCACATCGGCCCGCGAGGCTCTTTGCAGTGGGGTTGCCGAGGGCCGCTCTCTCCGTGCTCTGCAGCGCAGCTTGCTGTGGGGAAGGACCACTGCTCAGGGTCAGAAAGACGTGAGTCCAGTTCCCAGCTCTGCCGCTTACTGGCTGAGTGATCACACAGGTGCCTTTTCACTTCCCTGGGCCTTAATTTCCCCATCTGCAGAATGGGAGTCATAGCCCATTTGCTTGAGAAGTCATTCAATGCTCCCCTCTCCCATCTCTCTTCAGTCGGGTCCTGTCCCCTTTGCTTAGAAGTTGCCATGCCTTGAGACACAGGGTTGGATGCAATGGAAACCCTTTGATCCCCAGGCCTCTGAGCACTCTGGGAGAGAGCAGGCAGATATCCCACACCCCCATTCACACCTATCCCAGATGTGGATTTGATTTGATGTTCCAGGGCAAATCCCATTGAACAAATCCCATTACAGAAAAAGCTCATTCTGAGCTGTCTGTTATTGGCCCAGGGTCCAAGCCTCCCTGAGCCACTGGGCATCACATGAGCCCCTTCTGACAAAGCATGCCAGGAAGATTCACAGCTCTGGGGGTTCTTCACTCTTATCATGGACCTTCTTGCTATGTCTCAGATCTGCTAGGCATGTTCTGACCTCAGGGCCTTTGCACTGGCTGGCTCTTCTGCCTGGAAAAAGTGGGCAGAAGAGCCAGCCCGCTCTGTCTTCCCTTGGCTGGTTCTTTTCGGTCTTGCTGACTCTCACCTCTTTGGGGAGATCTTGCCTGGCTACTCCACATACTCCCTTTATTTAATTTTTCCTCCATGGAACTTATCAGTATGGGAAATTATATTATTTATTTGTTCATTTGTTTGTTGTCAGCCTCCTTCATTAGACTGGCAGCTCCAGGAGGTCAGGGAGCTGCAACTCTTCATGACTGTATCTCAGTACCTGGCTCAGTGTCTGGTACATACTAGGTGCTCAATAAATACTTGTTAAGTGAATATACATGAATTTAACAGGATTTTATGAGCTTATAGTATGTTGCAGGTACAATGCAGGCACTGCGGTTGCAATGAGGGATGAAACACAGTCCATCCTGCCCTCAAAGAGCTCACAGTGCAGCCCTATCTCTAGCCTGGCACATAGTAGCACTCTGTGAAATGTTTGATGAATGAATAAGTGAATTAATGAAGGATGTCTTCAGGAAACACTGTATCTTTTGCTATAGCTGGGGCATAAAGTACAAGGTAGAAAGGGGTGGAAGGAGTTGGGACATGTAGGTATGGGTCCAAGAACCCTGTGCCCTGTTCATCTGGAAGGTACTGAGGAGCCACCGATAATTCTTAAGGGATGTGCTCAAATTAGGTGGCAGTAGGTATCTGTCTTGCAGGATGAGTGCTGGGTCTAGGCACAGCTCCCAGCCCGTCCCCCAAACACCCTATCCTCTCCCTAACCCTCCATCTCGTCCTTCTGGGCCTTAGCATCCTGGTGATTTGCAGGAGGGAAGGATTCAACTGGGGTCTCAGCAAAGCTGGCAGTCCCTCCCGAGAGTCTCCCCACCCCCACAGCGGTCCTTCTGAAGGAAGGGAGAGGGGGCCTGTGTGCTTTCCTTGAGCCTCTAAGTTTATTCTTGGGGTCCAGGCCTCCTCGGAGGGAGGAGCAGGTTAGTAGGGAATGGGATGGTGGTGATTTTCTTAATTTAGATGGAAAGTGAGGTCGAGATTGGAAACCTGACAGGCAACCTGGAAGAGAATCGGGTCTCCTAACCCCAGGGCAGTGTTAGATTCCTGAGTTCCCCCACCAGCCCCTCGAACACACACCCCTAGCAAGTTCCTCAGGCCCAGGGCCCCATGTCAACAGCCAGAAAACAGCAGCCCAGCAACCCAACGGTGTCAGGCGTCTTCCCAGCTCCACCCCCTCTCACCCGCACCCCAGCGCCCTGTGAGGGCTCTGCCGAAACAGAGGCCTCTGAAGTGTAACCAACAAAGTGTGTTTAGGGAACATCAGTTCCCTAGAACAGCACTACTGCCCAGAGTGGCCCAGACGTCTCCTCCCAAACCCAGCCCTGCGTGTCTTTGCCATCTCAGGGCTGAGACCCCGTGAAGTCCCACCTAAGCCCCGCCAGCTTTGATGGAGACAAAGACCAGCCCCAGCAGGCCAGCTGCTCTTGACTTTGGCTCTGGGAGGGGGTGGGGAATGGAAGGACAGAGGAGGGGTTACCCCCAGGGCTGAGGGGAGCGTGCTGGGTGCACTGCGGGAAGAGTCCGGGGAGGCTGTGCTCAGGGCATTCTGGAGGAGCCAGGCCCCCCAGGGCTGAGGGACCCCACCCTACTCCCCCACCGAAACAGCTGCCCAGGGAGCAAACATCTGGAGTGAGAATCTCTACCGTGGTTGCGCGCCTAAATTAACCCATCCTTGAGAGTCAGACTTGACATTATCAGGTGAGCGGGGTCAGGTCAGCTGGACCCTAGACTATTCCCTTGCAGACCTGCTGTGAGATCTGGGGAAGCCACAGCCCTTCATGGGGCTCAGTTTCTCCATCTGAGAAATGGGCATCATAGTTCCACCCTGCACAACCCTGCAGGGCTCTGGACTGGGAGAGGAGGGAAAGGTAAGGAGAAGGGGAAGAGGGGAGAAGAGGCTCTGGGCCTGCTGATTCCAGAGCACTTTCCATGCACAGAGCCCATCTCTGCCTCCCAGCCACGCCCCGAGGACGGGGTGGTCACAGGTGTTAAGGGACTCCTGGCAGCTGCACAGTTAGTAAGTGGAGGAGCTTGGTGTCTGCTCCTGGCCTGAGGATGCCACATCCGTGCCCTTCACCCCGGCCATGCCTCAGGCCTGCAGCAGGGATGACTCAAAAATGGAAAGGTGAAATTTTCACAAGGTGTCTAGTTGGCAAAAGGATCATTGCTCCGGGGGGAGGATGTAGCTCAGTGGTAGAGCGCTGGCTTAGTGAGCACGAGGTCCTGAGTTCAATCCCCAGTGCCTCCGTTAAATAAATAGATAAACCTAATTACCTCCCTCACCAAAAAAAGATGATTGCTCCAATGCCCGAAGCCTGGCCCTGCAGATCAGGGTCCACAAGGGCCTGCCTCTCTCCCCACCCCTCCCTCCTCACCTCAGGACCAACTGGGACAGCCCTGCTCTCTCATCCCATGTGCACCTGCTGCCTGCAATGCCTTCCCTGGCTCTCTCCAGTCACTGGACCACCAGGCTGCATGGGTTCTCTCCTCTAGGCTCCCACAGCCCCACTGCGCTGCCTCTACCATAACCCTCATCACTGCATATTTTGATGGTCTGCTGCTAGTTGCCACCCCCACCAGACCCAGACGGCCATCCTGCCATGGTCAGGGACCATGGCTCTTCCTCCTCTGGAGTCCTAGGGCCCAGCCTGAGGCCTGGAGCCATAGTCACTCTCAGTTCATGTTTGTTGAATGAATAAGTGAACACACTAATGAACCAACCCCAGCTTAGAGAAGCTGAGTTTCTAAAGACAAGCCTTACCCTATCAGTCCAAGTGGCCAGCCCTGATGCTGAGTTCCTGTTTGCTAAACCAGGCCAAGCAGGGAACGAGGTGATGGTCACAGACATCCAGGAGCGGCCAGAATCAAGGGTGCCTGGAAGGCTATTTGAAAGCCCTGGCCATGTACATTGGTGTAGTGAGGGTAGGACCTCAAAGTCAGGAGTATAGCAGGCGTAGCACAGAATAGGGGGTGAAGGTGGACAGGCCAGAGTTTAACCTTTGCGTTGGAAGATGAAGCATCCCAGTCTGATGGGGGAGACACAGGTCCCTGTCCTAGGGGAGCTCCCTGTACGATGAGAGACATAATTAGCTGGTTCGTTTATTCATTCATTCATTGATTCATGAATGTATGCATTCATTCATTCAGCAGACAGACACAAGGTGCTGCTCAGAACCTCACAGAAAATAGAGAGATAAACTAGGCCGGTCCTGTCCCCAAAAACTCTCAGTGGAGGGAGGTTCCACAGGTCAGGACTTAACCAAAGAAACCAGCCATCTTACCCACAAGGGCCAACAAACCAGGTAAACTGAGGACCTCGAGGCTGCAGGACCTCAAGGGAGCAACTCCAGTAAAGGCCTGTCCCAGGCCAGCCCAGCATCAACCCTGCTCACACATGCACTCGCGAGGTCCTTCTTCCAAGCGCCCCGCGCCGGCTGGAGGGTCGGCTCTGACGCTGTCTCCCCCGCAGGTAATGAGCATTCTGAGCAACCCCAGCGCGGTGCCGCCGCAGCCGCAGGCCGACTTCTCCATCTCCCCGCTGCACGGCGGCCTGGACTCCGCCACCTCCATCTCGGCCAGCTGCAGCCAGCGGGCTGACTCCATCAAGCCGGGAGACAGCCTGCCCACATCTCAGTCCTACTGCCCGCCCACCTACAGCACCACCGGCTACAGCGTGGACCCCGTGGCTGGCTACCAGTACGGCCAGTATGGCCAGAGTGAGTGCCTGGCGCCCTGGGCGTCCCCCTCCCTCTCCCTGCCCCGCCCCATCCAAGGACCTCCCGCTGATTCTCAGAGCCCTGCAAGGTGGTGTCGGGGTAGGGGGTGCCCATCAAACAGGTGAAGCAATTGAGGTCCAGAAAAGAGGAGACGTTGTCTTAAGATGCTGCTGAGTTGGACCCCTGCACTCAGGCTACTGTTGTCTTAGAGCCCTGCTGTCCCATGAGAATGTGATGTGACCCACAAATATCATTTAAAATGTCCTAGTAGCCACATTTTTAAACATAAGAAGAAACAAACGGAAATTATTTTTATTAATATATTTTATTTAACCCATATATATCCTCCAAAAGATGATCATTTTACATGTAATCCATATAAAATCGTTAATGAGATTTTTTTTACATTTTTTTCTGGTACAATGTCTTTGAAATCCAGCCCATTTTAATTCAGACACTAAGTTTGCACTGCAAATACTCAGTCTGCACTTAAGTTTCGTAAAATTTATGACTGAGGAAGTAGACTCACACAGCCAAGTTGTTCTAAACACACTGAAAAGTTTCCCACCCGTGAAGCTAAATCGAATTTTGGTTTTTAAATTTAAATTAGATAAAATTAAATCAAAAGGTAATATTCAGCTCCTTGCCACTTTGGCTGGTGGCTGCCATGTTAGACGATGTGGTGGGAGAGACCCTGCCCGTTTCTGCCCCACTCTGTAGGGCAAAGCTGTATTTTGAGCTCTTTCCTCCACTCCTACCCGACCCCATCCTCAGCCTTGGTTTCCCCAAACTTGGAGTTGGTCTCGGGTGCCCACCCCAGCCGCCATGCCCCTGACACCTGGCCAGGAGGCAGGGACAGCAGACCCTCAGACCAGAGGCTGCCAAAGGCAGGCCTGCACAGCCTCCAGCTGCCAGAGGGATGGGGCAGCAGCAGGGCAGGCCAGGACGGGCGAGCCGAGGTCACGGGCTGCCCTCCTGCCCCACCTCCGGCAAAGGCCTCACCTGCTGGTGTCAAACTAATCAGAAGGGCGTGTGGCGAGAGGGCGAGACCCCGCCAGCCCCAGGGCCTCCTCTGTCCCCGCTGCAGCCCTGGCCCGGCCCCCCTGACCTCTGCTTCCTGCCCCCCACACCAACCCCCCTCCTCACACCGCCGCGGCCTCCACGGCTAAATGAGGGCCAGCTGTGCCGGCCTCCACCTCCCAGCTGTGCTCACGGTCCCGTCCCTGTGTGTGTGCGGGTTCACGTATGCGTATCTGGGTGAGTGGGGACACCTGTGTCACGGATTTGTTACCATCCACGTGTTGAGGGAGTCCTTGGACACGCATCTTGTGTGTAGGTGCGTGTGTGTGTGGATGAGTGAGCGGCGCGCGACGATTCACACGTGTGTGAGTATGAGTGTATCGTGTGCTCCTGGTTGAATGTGGGTTTGTATGTGAGTACACATGTGCACACATTTGGTCATGTGAGGGTATGTAGCTATAACACATACCCACGTGTGTCTAAATGTGCACGCGGGTGTGTGCATGTGGCTCAGTGTCTACGTCTGTGCCTGTGTGTCCGACGCATGTCACTACACAGGCAGGTATAATAGATACGTGTGCATGTGTGTAGCTGTGTGTGTGAGTGTACAAGGATGTACGTGCGTCTGCATGTGCGTTCAGCACGTCCATATGCTGGAGTGTGTCTGTGAGTGTGCATCTGGGAGGATGCGTGTGCACATAGACTATGTATGCAGAGTGGAAGTACGGGTGTGTGAGTATGTGCCTGGGTGTGGCTGTGTGCTCTGTTGTCCAGTTGTGCATCTGGGTGTGAACACATGATGCTTGCTGCCTGTGTGTATAAATAACTGTGTCTGTGCGAATGTTGTGCAGGGGGTGACAGAACGTGTGTGTGCCTGTTTGTCTGAGAGCAGGGTGCACGCGGGTGCACAGGAGTGTTTCCAGGGGGGCCAGGGTGACCCCCTGGCCCAGCCCCTGTTCCCGGGCACCGAGTGAGACACATGCTCTTGATAAAAAGTTTAGAGCAGCTCCAGCAGCCCCGGCCTGGGGCGGGCGTTAGTCACACCCAGAGCCCCGTACCCCCCTCCAGGGGCGCCTGCCCGACTCGGAAATAAAATTAACCCTAAAGTCAGCATGCTGGCCGCCAGGGACAGGGATCAAAAGGGAAAGGGCCCAGGAGGCGAGAAAGGAGTTTTGTTCCCCTTTGCTGGGGCAAAGCTGGCCGGAGTGATTTCCTCCCCATCCCCACCCCCACCCCCACCCCAAGCCCCACCTCCTCCTTCCTCCATCCTCAGCCTTCCTCCCTGCCGCCCCCCCTCCTGCCCCCACTTCCCCTCTAGTGCCAGCCTCGTTCCCCTGACTCCTCCAGGGGTAGCTCAGAGCTTCTCCTGGGCCACATTCTCCAGCCTTACCCAAAGGGAACCTCAACTCAGACCCCATACCCCTCCGCCCACCCCACAGAGCTCGGGCTGAGAGGGGCCTGAGGGAAAGTCTGCCCCTCCCCTACCATGGCGTGGACAAGTCACCCGCCTCTCCAAGCCTCAGACTTGCCATCTATGAAATAGGGGCCCAAGGATTCGACTCCATTACCTCGAGAGTTTCCCATGGTACCACTCCCCTCACCTTTGACATTCTGAAACAGCCCCGGGACACACGGTGTTCCCACTGACCACCGCCCCACGTGCACGGGCGACTAAATCCACCTGTGACTGGGCTCCCACAGGCCACGTGTGAGAGCCTCATGTTCCAAGTTGCTCCCTGTAGGTCCGGGACCACCTGTCATCTTCCCACATCTGTCCCGTGCATGAGGCTGGCATACCGGGCTCTGGGCGAAATGCATGTTCCTTATTTTATGTAATTCGCAAAAACCCCACCTGAGGTAGGTGTTCTTTGCCCTCAGGTTACAGATGCAAAAGCTAAGGCTCAGAGAGGCTAGGAACTTTCCCAAGGTCACACAGGAAGTGAATGATGGACTCCAGGTCTCCTAACTTCAAACCGAGTTCTCTTTGTACCGAACCACAAACTTGTGTAAGATGCTGAGTAATGATTCACACCTAGACTCACCTGGGTGTGAAGTCATGTTCACAACTTCACAGGCACCTGTGCATGGACAGAGCTGTATTTCTGTGTGAATATTCATTAATGTGCATATCTACATGGCTTCAGGGTATAACTATACAAAAGGTATGTGTATAAAGAAAGGAGAAGTGATCGTTTATGGAGCATCTCCTGCGGGTCTGGCATTCCATCCTCACGGCCATCCTGTGCAGTGTGCAGGGTTATTCCCACTGGACAGATGAGGAAATGGGATCCCCAGAGAGGCTGTTCGCCTGAGGTCACCCAGCAGTACATACTGATGTGCGCAGGCCACACCTCTAGATATGAGAGCCTCACCGTCAGGTGTCCCCAGAGTGAACACGTGGGCCAGACTCTTAGGCAGCAGAGTCTGCCTCTCTCCCTGGGCCTCTCATCTTCCCAGGGACCCCTTCACACCTTCCCTTCCTGCTCCCTGCCATCGTCTGTCCATCTGTCTGTCTCTCCCTGTCCCTGAAGGGGGTGGGGCGGAGGGGCAGGGACGGGGCACACGGCAGATTAATATGGCCCTGGTGTTCCCAGAGGCCAGGGCCGTACTAATGATGGGGCTGATAGAACGCAGAAGTGTGAAAAGAATTTTAATAGATCTGACAAGTCTAATAAGAATTTGTGTCTAGAAGGGTCCTCCTCTGGGGCCGCGGGCTGACGAGATGCTGACGGCTGAGATTTGTTTACTGGTTGGCATCGTCACCACATCTCCTGCCAACTCCCGATTAATCTAATTTGAGACATTTAGAACCCAGGCGCGGGCACGAGGCAGAGGAGGGGAGACACGGAGGGACAGAAGGACAGGAGGGGCCATTGACAGAGGCCGTAATGAGAAATGTCACAGCCCTCCCCTCGCCGGACCCCAGCTCGACCCCAGGGAGAGGCAGGCTCTGCAAGAAGACGGGTGCCCTTGAAGTTGGCTGGCTTGTCAGTAAAGTTCAACTTCTCGATTTTTCCTGGAAAAGCACCTACTGTGCGCAGGGGCATGGCTGGTGACAGGGAGAGGCTAAAGAGAAGGGTACAGAGTGACCAGAGGCACAGGCAGGACAAATTCGGGCTCCTCCTGCTCACATGCTGCATGTGTGCCTCTGGGCCAGCCATCTTTCTGAGCCTCAGTTTCCACGTTTGTAAAACGGGAACAACTGTATCTGAAACCTGGGGGCTGCTGAGAGAATTACATGAGATTATGTCCACCTCACACCTAGTAAATGCTCACTCTGCGATTCTCATCATTTTTATTCAAAGCCAGACTTTTCTGCCGCACCCGCAGGAAGAGCTGCTCCCTTAGACAAGTCACTTACAACTTCTGGGGTAGAAAGTGGGGCCAAAGCCGGCTTTGCGGAATGAAGTGCTCCATGCACTCTGAAGCGCTGTGCACAGCCCAGGGTGACTCTAGAGGAGGCTGCTGGGTGGAGCTGGTGGGGAGTGATTAGCGGCTGGCATTAGATTGCCCGAGTATGTTTATATATGTATATATAATTTTTAATACACTTTTCACAATAGGTTGTTACAAGCTATTGAATATTGAGTTTCTGGTGTATATCGTGTTGTTGTTTATCTATTCTATAGTAGAGTGTATCTGTTAATTACAAACTCCTGATTTATCCTTCCCCCCTCCTTTCCCCTTGAACTTAACCGTAAGTTTATTTTCTATGTCTGTGAGTCTATTTCTGTTTTGTAAATAGGTTCACTTGTGTCACTTTTTTTTAGATTCTACATATAAGTGATATCATATGATATTCATTTTTCTCTGTCTGACTTGCTTCACTTGATATGATAATCTCTAGGTCCATCTATGTTGCTGCAAATGGCATTATTTCATTCTTTTTTATGGCTGAGTGGTATTCCATTGTATATATATACCACAACTTCTTTGTCCAATCATCTGTCAGTCAGACTACCTGAGTTTGAATGATGGTTCTACAATTTAGGAGCCATGTGATCTTTCAAGTTATGCAGTCTCTCAGGGCAGGGCCTCGGTGTTGTCATCTGTCGAATGGAAATGATACTAACAGCAGCCTCACAGTGTTGTGAGACCTGAATGAGCTGACGCACATAAAGTACTTAGAACAGGAGGGCATGGAGCTAGCTCTCAGTAAATGTCAGCTCCCCTCCCCGCTTCCTGTGACCACTCTGACAATATGCCTTCTTTGTGGGGAGGACCGAAGCCAGGTAAGACTGACTCCAAGTAGCAGAGATGGTGTGGCCAGAGCTGCAGGGACACCCCCTGAGGCCAGAGATAGGAGGTTCTCCCATCCTCACGCAGAGTAAGGGGCAGATGGCAAGGCTGGCCACCATCACTCTGTCCTATCAGCTGGAAGCCTGGAGGCTGAGTGACCTCAGAGGCAGCACCCAGGGAAAGCTGAGGGGCACAGGGTCCAGATGCTCCAGAAAGACCCCAGGGCATTTGCACATCCTTTAGAAATCTAGAGGGCCATGCCCTGAGACCTCTGTGCCTGGCATCTTAAAGCACATTATCTCATTTGCTCCTTAAGGAAGCTGGGATTTGTTCTCCCCATTTTAGAGAGAAGGAAACAGGGCTGGAGTGGCAAAATCTTTTTCCCAGAGCTGCATAAACAGGAAGTAACTGGGACCCTGAATTGCGCCATGCACTGTTCCTGCCCTTCCTGCCCCCATCAAAGGTCACATCTGTTTATGAAACCCCAATCCTAGGAGCCCACACCTACTGAACTAACTATGTGCCTGGCACAGTGCTAACGAACCACTTTACGTACATTTTCTCTTTCAATCCTCACAATCACCCCTCAACCCAGGTGCTATCATTATTTTAGAAGAAAACTGAGGCTTGGAAAGGTGAGATGGTGTGCTCCCAAATCACACACTAAGAGTTGACAGGCGCAGGGTTTGACCTACATCCTTTGAGCCCCTAGGCAGTACGGCTCCTGGTAACTCAATCATTGATACAGCCCATCTGGCCTCCAGCCACACCCATCACCTCCTGGCTCTGCCCACCTGCCTTTGGCAGGAGCCCCCAACCTTGGGGAGGCATGTAGTGTCACAGGGTCCCTCCATGGGTAGGTGGTGGAGAGGGTGTTGGGCCAGGTCTCGTGTTTCCTAGGATAGCCCCCTTGCCATCTTCCTCTGCCTTCCATCCAAGAGGTCCCAGGGGGCTGGATTGGCCACAGCCGTGGATTCCAGTTTGGGAGGTGGCATCTTGGGGCCTCAAGAGGCCTCAGTTACATGCCAGTCAAATCATTTGGTCAGGGAAGATTTCTGCTGCAGTCTCAGGCAGGCACAATTAGTCCAGTCAAGACAGAAAACATGTATACCTACCTGCGCGTGCACGCACGCACACACACACACACACACACACACACTGATGCACGTACCTGGCCTAGGTAGAAGTCAGTCACCTCTAAGGTACAGGTGTCCCCAGTGTTCTCTGACTCACACAGGTGCACACAATTCACCCACATCTGTGCACGGGTACGTGTGCAAATATTGCTCATGTGTGAACATCTGTGCCCATTACGACTTCATTCTTGTTTCCACCGTTCACACACACACACGCACACACGAGCACACGCCCTCAGACTCTCATCCGTCTCCTCTGGGTGACCCAAATTGACAAAGCTAAAGGTCTCAGCTCCCTGAATCACAAGCTCTTGACTCTTCCTGCTCCTCCTCAAGCTCACCTGCAAAAACTCCTTCGGTTTCTGAGTAATAGTTCTTGCTTTGCCTCATCTATGAGCTGGGCTAAGGGTCCAGAAGAGACAGAAAGACCTCGCTCTTATTACTACCTGGGTACCATGGGTGTCCCCCATAGCAGGGATATGTAGAAGCGTGCTGGAAAGAGGGACTAATTCTTCACTAAACAATGTGATACCCTCTGTACTTCCCTGCAGATCCTGCGAGAGAGTTGGGTAAACAACAAGTGTTAAGCAAACATTTGCTGAATGACTGGCAAGGTAGTGAGAGAAAGAGCTTTGTGAAGAGATGGATAGATGGGTGGGTGGATGGATGAAAAGATGAATAGATAGAGGGCAGATGGACAAACTCATGAATGGATAAATGGATGGATGATGGATAAATGGGTGAATGGATAGATGGATAACTATATGGTTGGATGGATGGATGGGAAGAAGAGATGGATAGATGCATAGAAGGATGGATGGAGGAACTGATGAGTGAATAAATGGATGAATAGATGGATGGTTGGATAGATGGATGGATGGATGGTAGAAGAGATGGATAGACTGACAAAAAGGTGGATGGATGAACTGATGAATGAATAAATGGATGAACAGATGTATGGCTGAATGGATAGATGGATGGATGAATGAGTGGGTGGATAGATTTAGGGCAGATTGAAGAATAGGCAAAAATAACCTCAATTTCTAGGAGTTTCTCTCTTTTTTTTCCCCAGCTGCTGTTGATTATCTGGCCAAAAACGTGAGCCTCTCCACACAGCGTCGCATGAAGCTGGGGGAGCACTCGGCTGTGCTGGGACTCCTGCCTGTGGAAACTGGCCAGGCCTACTAGGGTCCCTGGGGCGACTTGCCCCAGCCCAAGTCCCAGCCTAACCCTTCTGATCCCTGAGCCTCCCAGCCTCGGTCCCTTCACTGCCCTAGGGTCCTAAGAGCCTGGGAAAGGAGCCCACTCCTTTCTCATGGCCAGCCCCCTGGAAACGAGCAGCCAGTCTACCATTCACCTGTGGTTAGGGACCTGGAGTGACCCCTTGGAGTCTTCCCCTTCGCTCTTGCCCCAGGAGGGTCTCTGGTCAGCCTGCAGTCTTTCCCCAGCCAAATCCTGTCATGGTCTCTGTGCCATCTCAGACACAGAAACCAAAGGTCACCCCAACTAGAGGGCCTTGGGCGCCCAAAGGAGGATGGTGT